CTTATTTACCAGAGATCCACTATCTCATTGTAGCCTCTACTCAGGTCATCAAATAATACCCCATATCTTTGCTAGAGTTTTTCAGCCATTATCTTTTGGCTTCATTTTCAGTAGGTGCGAGGAAACATGCGTTTGTCTAGGATGAGGATTTGTGCATTCTTTTAATGAGTCACTGAAATTTTAATAGGGATTGCATTGAAGTTGTGTTTATTTTGAGTAGTATGGATGTTCCTTCAATTTATGAATATGGGATATTTTTCTATTTATTTGTGCCATCTTAAATTTCTTTCAGTAATATTTTATACTTTTCAATATACAGATAGTTCACCTCTGGCTAAATTTATTTCTAATGGTTTTTTTTTTTGGTGATTGTTATAACTTTTCCATTTAGTTTCTTTTTAGTGTATAGAAACATAATTTATTTTTCTGTGATTATTTTGTATCCTGCAATTTTACTGAATTTATGTATTAGTTCTAACAGCTTTTAGTAGAATCTTTAGGGTTATATATATAATCTTATATTACCTGCAAATAGAAACAATCTAACTTCATTTTCAATGTGGATTCCTTTTCTTTCTCTTGCCTAATTGTACTCTGGCTAGGACATTCACAACCATGTTGAATAGAAATGATGAGAGTGGTCACCCTTATTCCTCACCTTAAAGGAAAAGCTTTTATCTTTTCTTTGTTGAGTATGCTATTAGTTCTGGGCTTGTCATTTGTGGCCTTTAATGTATGATTGTACATTCTTTATATACCTAGTCTATTGAGAAGTTTTTTTATATCATGAAAGCATGTTGAATTTTGTCAATGGCCTTTTTCTTACCTATTAAGATGATCATATAGTTTTTGTCTTTCGTTCTGTTAATGTGGTATATCACATTTATTGGTATGCATATGTTCAACCATCCTTGCATCCCAGTGATAAATTCCACTTGATCATGGTGAGTGATCCTTTTAAAGTGATGCTGAATTCAGTTTGCTAGTATTTTGTTTAGAATTTTTGCTTCTCTATTTATTAGGTATAATGGCCTATAATTATCTTTTTCTGTATTGTTTTTGCCTGACTTTGGTATTAGCAATGCTGGCCTTGTAAATGAGTTTGGAAGTGTTCCCTCGTCTTTAATTTTTTTTGGAAGAGTTTGAAAATGATTGGAATTAGTTCTTATATGTTTAGTAGAATTCACTAGTGAAGCCATTAGGTTCTGGGCTGTTCTTTGATGGTTAGTTTTTGATCACTGAATAAATCTCTTTACTCATCATTGGTCTGATCAGATTTTTCATTTCTTTATGAGTCAATCTTGGTAGTTTATATGTCTAGAAATTTATCCTTTTCTTCTAGGCTATCTAATTTCTTGGAATGTAGTTGTTCCTAGTAATCTTTTATGATCTTTAGTATTTGTGTATCATTAGTCATGATGTCACCTTTTTTGTTTCCAATTTTATTTGCATCTTGTCTCCCTGTTTCTAATTAGTCTAGCGAAAGCTTAGTGACTTTTGTTAATCTTCTGAAAAAGCCATCATGTAGTATGTTGATCCCTTCTATTATTTTATAGTTTTTTGTTTGTTTGTTTGTTTTGATACAGGGTCTTACTCTGGCACCCAGACTAGAGTTCAGTGTCACGATCATAGCTCACTTTATCCTTGAACTTATGTAATCCTCCTGACTCAGCCTCCCAAGTCCTGGGACTATAAGCATTTGCCATCATGCCCAGGTAATTTTTTGCTATTAGTAGAGACAGAGTTTCACTATGTTTCCCAGGGTCACCTTAAGCTCCAGGTTTAAAGCAATCCTCCTGCCTTGATTTCCTAAAGTGCTTGGATTGCAGATGTGAGCCACCACTCCTGACCTGTTTTCTAGTCTTTATATTATTTATTTCTTCTCTGATTATGTTTCACTTATTCCCACTTTGGACTTAGTTTATTATTCTTTTTCTAGTTCCTTGAGGTGCAATGTAAGGTTATTTGTGATGTTCTCTGTTTTTGATGTAGGCACTTATTGCTATAAACTTTCTCTTAAAATTGCTTTTTGTGCATTCTGTAAGTTCTGGTATGTTATTTTTCCATTTTTGTTTTTTTCAAGGGCAAACCATGTACTTTTAAATGTAATATACATACATAAAATTACAGTGCATTGTATCGTCTGGTGCAAAGTGTCATGGTATAAGTTAAATATGCAGAACAGTAATGGTGAGAGAGTAGAATGTAAAAGGGGTGATTAAAATGAGGGAATATGATCTGGAGTATACTTTGAAGGAAGTGAGTCGATTTGGTTACCAACGAACTACATGGTAAAAACCAAATAATAATTTTTGTGAGTCTTAACTCACGCCTTGTAATGTTCTCACTATGATAATAGCTCGACTTTGAATTTTCTCATCAGTTTATTCTTCTGCCCTTCTCGAAACTTACAAAAAGATTTTGAAACTGGATTGAGAAACAGTGTGAACCATTTAAGTGCTTTAGTTGTTGACTTTCAGTTCGTGTGGTTGATATTTATTGACTCTCTTAGGGTATATAAATATTATAAATACACTGAGAGGCAGAGTTATGTTGCCTTGACAGCTAGTTGTAAGACCTTGTGTCCCAAATCTACCTGCATTACAGGTTCTTCATATGTTCAAAATATGATGATAATGCTTAGCTTGTTTTTCTTCTTGTCTGACGTTGCATCATTATTCTTATGCAGTTTTGGTTCCCTGGTACTTACATAGCTTTGTACGGTATAGCCTGTGTATGATTGTGACCAGTTTGAAACTGTTCCTAGAGATATTCAAAGTCTGTTTTATAGGAAATTTGTTCAGTTTACATTTCCTTATGTTCTGAATTCTTATCTTATCCTATAGATTTTGGCTGTAAACTCCTAGAGTCTGTCTCATATGAAGATTTAATACAAAGGGTGCAACTACCAGTTTTTATTGCTTGGTGATTGGTTGTTATTTCCTCAGTCTGTGTTTGTCCTTTCTTAGAAAGCCTACACATAGCATTGCAATGGAAATCAGAAATGAATAAGAGAAAAGTGGAAAGTAGACTGTGAGTTACTATTATGTCATTCATTCACTCCATTCACACTCTTGTTGTTGAAAAACTCCAAATACTTTGTGGAATTAGAAAAATATTTAACAATGAATGCATACATTTCTGCAGTTATGTCTTTGTTTGGAAATAAAGAATTAGCTGTAGGAGAAGTAGAATGAAAAGTGATTGAAGGGTAATTAAATAACCCAATATGTCAGAGTAGCATAACACATCTGTTTGTCTCTATTAATATATATTGATATAGACTTGGAAATCAAGTCTATGTTTCATGTTAATGTTAATTTGCTATTTAATGTTCTGAGGTGAAGACAAATCAGCAGTGTCAAATCATCCAGTTAATAGATGACAGAGATAAAAATTCAAACTTGGGACTTTCTGAATCTGAGCTATCTTATTTTTATTTTACTAGATCAGTTTTGGTTCTCCTTGGCAATTCATTTTGGCCACTGAAGGAAATCTTTCAAATGCTTTTTTCTCAGCCTCTAGCTTTGTTGGGCTTTTAGCTCTGATTTTTTTCATCATGTCCATAATCAGCTTAGAGCATCCTTTAAGTGTTTTTCTTGGCATAGATAAGGATATTAGGCCCCAAGTTTAAAAGTATACCCTAGCAAATACTCCATATTTGAAGAGTTAGTTCCTAAACTACCACCAGCTTACCTGTTTGGGCCTAAATTATCTCTTGGGTAATTGTTAGCCCCCTGTTATTCTCTGGAACCGTTTTTACCAAACTGTTTCAGCATAATACACTGCTGCAGTATAATAATGCATCACTTCTTTTTAGGTGATGGTTTATTGGAAAAACACAGATTTGAGATTGAGTAGAAGTACCAAATAACCATATGAATTTGTCTAAATATCTTAAGCTCATCGAGTCTTAGTTTCTTTATCTACAAGAAAAGGATAGTACTAACTTATTCGAGTGATAGTGAGGATTAAATGAAATGTTGTAAGTTGTCAGGTACCTAAGTGTAACACATCTGGTTTATAGTAATGCCCAAGAGGTGATAGTTTCTTTCCCTTTTGCTGGTTTCAGATCTGTGCTTCTCTGGGCATCTGATTTAGTCTTATGTCATCCATTCACTTCTTTCCCACTCTCATTTTTCAAAAGCCATAGAGAGTCTCACACCTTTCATCTGCCCCCTCTGAGAGTTCATACTTGGCACAGCCTGATAATATGTTGATTCCTGTTGCTCTTTGGAGTTACCTGTCTGAGGTCTCCAGTGGGTTTAATTGAAAGCAAGTTATTTAATATGGAATTCTTTTATAATTTGACTTTTCTCTTTAGGATTCTTTTTGCCCCCATTGCCTCTTTCTTGCTTGACCTCTAAATTACTCCCTAACTTAAGTATTCTCATTGTTATCTTAAATCATCCAGAGTACAGATCATAAGTAAGTACAAAGAGAACCATATAGAGGCAGAACATTTATACTATGTATATTAATATGTCATTGTTTGTTATTGTTATTTTTAAGTGGCAGATAAGATTTTAGCAAAATAAATACATATTTAGAAAATATTCAATTGCACAGGGTAATCAAAAACATAAAAAACATAATATACCTCTTTAGTAGAAAAACTTATACTGGTACTCACTGCTAGTGATTATGCAATGAAGTGATATTCTCAGAGATATCTGGGGACAAAACTAGAAAATACTATAAGCAGAGAAATTATAGTTAGGTAGTTGGGAGTCTGACTTCTTCCTATGTCTCCCTTCATATATAAGCATGTGTATTGTGATCCACAGTATTGTGATACCTTTCATCCTAGTAGGTTCGAAAAGTAATCCTAAAGAAATTGTTCAGAGTATATCAAAAGATGTATATTTAAACATTTATTGTGGCATTATTTATTTATAATTTTTCCATTCAAAGCCCAATTGGAAAAGAAGTGATTTTAATTTTCGGTTGGAATTTTATTTTAATCCATTAATATTATCATTTTAATTTTTGTGTTTCAGGGAAAGGTGGCCCAGACAGCATGTATGTCAGCTTGCAAGCATTTGTCTACATCCTTGATGCAACTTTTGCTGGAAGCTGAAGTAAGGCAGCTCACCTTGGGAGCATTACAGCAGTTCAACTTGGATGTCAGAGAATGTGAACGTAAGAGAGTGACCATTTCTTTTCTTTTTTGTCTTCCTTGCATACTTACTTCAACGAAAAATGTAGTTTTAGGTCTGAAGGGTCCTTGTTCCTGATGGAGTCACATAATATTTAGATGACAGAGGTAACTTATAGGGTATGTAAAAACAGAGTATCAACAGGCTTACTTGAGCACCCAAAGTGCTTAGGCCCATGTTTAGAACAGAGAAGGTCCCTGGCCACAAGGAAGTTTGTAATCTAAAGGGAGATATAAGGCAAGGTTGCATTTAATAGATACCAAAGCAAACCTGATTGTTTCAAAGACTTCAAAAAATTGCAGTTCCCAACCACTGTCTTTTAATATTCTATTTTAAAACTATCTACATTTGGAGTTAACCTTTGTGCATGGGGATAGATAGGGGTCCTACCTCACTAATCATTAGGGAGATGCAAATCAAAACCACACTGAGATACCACCTAACTCCAGTCAGAATGGCAATTATCAACAACTCAAAAAATAACAGCTGCTGGAGAGGGTGTGGTGAAAAGGGAACACTTCTACACTGTTGGTGGGAGTGTAAACTAGTGCAACCTCTGTGGAAAGCAGTGTGGCGATTCCTAAAAGCTCTAAAAATTGACCTTCCATATGACCCTGCAATCCCCCTACTGGGAATATACCCTGAAGAACACAAATCACTCTATAAAAAAGATACCTGCACACGTATGTTTATCGCAGCGTTGTTCACAATAGCAAGAACCTGGAAACAACCATGCTGCCCATCAAAAGAGGACTGGATTAAAAAAACGTGGTACATATACACGATGGAATACTACGCAGCCATAAAAAAGAACAAAATCATGAATTTCGCTGCAACCTGGATGGAACTAGAGTCTATAATACTGAGTGACCTCTCACAAAAACAAAAATCCGAATATCACATGTTCTCACTCATATAATGGACCTTGAACATCCAATGCAATACTATAAGAAAATGACTGATGGTACTGGGAAACTATGGGGGGGAGGGGGATGGGATTAACAGTAGCAAATATCTGTCGGGGGATGGGAAAACACTTCTTATCAACAGGGTGCCTGAATGAAACGTCATTGTACACCTAACCCTTAACTGTACCCCACAAAACCATAATAAAAAATACTGATTAATGAAAAAAAAAAAAACTGCT